TTCGACAAGCTGTCATATAACATAAGGCTCGACTAAATAAAACATTATTGTGTATCATTTGTAAACGTTCAAATAAATAACGTATACAATCATCAACATCATTTAATTGATTTAATGTTTCATCAATTGAATCATATGAATGCCAATAAGATATAATATCAAACATAAGTTTCATAAATAACGGCAAAATTTGATTTTTTTTCTTCATTAAATTATTTATAAATAAACGTTGATCTGTACTTAATGAACGTTGTTTCATTTCAAGCCAATCATTATAAACAATTTCAACTGTTGATGATTCAAATGGTGGAACATGTATAAATAAATTTTCATTTTCAATTAAAATATGTTTTAAATTTTCTAAAATACCACCATGATCAGGTAATGTTGATACAATACATTTAACATTTGATGGAAATTCTACTGGTAACCATTTACAATCATATGCATCAGTATGTAATTGATCAATTGAATCAAGTAATATAAGAAGATATTCATTATCAGGAATTTGAGTAAGAAGATTTAATTCAAGTTGATCACGAAGTTGATTTACAGTTGGATAGGCAGTCATTGGTAGGTTATATAATTCAGAAATTTGTGTAGATATAGAAAGTAATGTTTTATAAATAGTTGAAGAAACCGGTGTAGTTCTAGATAAAATAAAGAATATCAATTCTTTTCTTTTGATTCGACTTAACCTACCCGAGAAAACGCAAAATAACCGAAACAGATCGATTAGACCACCATTTAAATATCTTGAATTAACTTTTAATTATTTTAAGATTTATCTCAAAATTAAGTTAACTAACCTCTGTTGCCGTTTTAGCTATTACACTTGTCTTTCCACAACCTGATTCACCATAAACAACACATGGTCGATATTCAAAACTATTTTTCACAAATTTTTCTAACTAAAAAAAAAAAAATTATCGAACTTTATTTACTTTTTTTTTTTTGAATCAAATATTTCTTTTCATACTTTAGATAGATCATCAATTCTTCCATGAAATTTAGCAACATATGTTTTACATTGTATAGCATGTTCTAAAACTTCATGTTGTAAACTGTCAGAACCAATTGTATAACGTGATTGAACACATCGATCTATTTGTTCTTTCACTGCTGTATAAAAATCATTATTAAATTTTTCTATATATTGAGAATGTTCTTGTCGATTAATTCCATTCGGTGACCAATCAACTTTATATTTGTATATGTTTTGAGATTTTAATGCAGCTGGAATACGAACTCCTTTTAATCGATCGAGTAATTTTTCAGCTTCTTGATCAATAACTGTTTCTGATGACATATCGATATATTTTCGTGCTTTTTCATCTGATAAATGATTTTTAATATCAACAATTTCACGTAAAAAACATAAAGTACGTTCATTAGCATCTTTTGCTGATAGAATACCATTGATGATTTCCTTTTCCGTAACTAAGAATCAACTTATATAAATAAATAACCTAACAAGAAAACTTGCCTGATATAAAAAATTCATCGTAATCACTTTCAGTAATTTGTCCTCGTTGAAGACATGTTTCTGCTGCTTGTCGAAGGCATAGTCTTAAACGATTATTTATAACTTTCCATTCTTTATCTGCCTGTTTTACTTCATCGGTATCCTATAAAAGAAAGAGACAACAATTCTTTTTAAATCAAACTCTTTCTTGTTACTTTTGATAAAAAATGTGGCATAATTGATGAAATATTTTGTAAGATGTATGCAGGTGGTATACAATTCGTATCAAGTTGGTACCATTGTGTCAATAATTCAGCATCATGATATTCATTTTGTTCATTGAGAACAATTTCTTTTAATAATTCAAACAATGACGCACGAATCTGAGCTGGAATTGGTCGTGAACCATAACGATGACTAAGTAAAACCTAATTTAAATAAATCAATAGATATTTGACTTTTTTTTTTACATAAAAACAAACCACAAAATTAGTAGCAACAGAATATTTTTTACATAATTCAATTTCTTTTAAACATGTTGCAACTTCACCATGATTATTAGCTGATTCAGTTTGAATTCCCCATCGCATATCAGCATACTAAAACAAAGATTCTTTTCTATTGTTTTTAACTTCAATGATAATAACAAACTTGAAATTCTAATCCATATTTTTCACGACAATAATCTTTAAGTTTAGGAAATATATTTTCAATTAAAGAATCTCGTTCAGTTAATGTATCTAAAAAACAATGAGTTTTTTTTTCCTATGAAAGAAATTTGTTTTTAAAGAATTTTTAACCTGTAAATGTTGAACTAACAAAAACTCGTACAATCTTTGATCGAACATCAGGCAATTGTTGAGCTCGTCCTCGTAAAATATCTAAATAATATGATGATTTCATACTCTAAAATAGAAATCTAGATTATGTATTAAGATAAAAATGTACATGATTGTAAAAAAATGACGTTCAATATTAACATAGGATTCTTACCGTTCCACTCCTGTGACTTCGAAAAATGTATGATAATCAGCTGCTCGATCATCACAACTATTCGATCCTTTTCTATTTGCAATAGGTGATGGAAAATCAATCTTTCTTCTACTACTATTCAAACATTTACGTGATTCTTCATAGCAAAGCAATCTACTCGTCATTGACGATATGTTGTAACTGGCAACACAGAATATCATTGAAGAGCATTTACAGATTCTGCATTTTTAACAAAAACTCGTTAACTTCTCTTCAACAAACGATGCATCGAAACTCACCGATTGTACACACTAAAATAAAATGTGTCGACACATTAAAGTGCGACGCATTTTGAAGACGTGGTTCAAAACCTGTCTTCAGTGTGTTTATCATTTTTTTTCTGCATAAGCGAATAATTACTATTTCTTAGTTTAATTTGATTTAGTGATACATATTCCAAAAGCTCAAGACGATTGAGTCTAGAGATCTAGCCGTCTTAAGTTTATTTAATGTCTATCAGATCCTTTCTCGATCGTCGATCGGCATGTTCGCGACCAATAAATAAACGAGAACTAGTCTAGAAAACAAAAGACATACGAAAATGTATGAGCTCATTGTGCTTAATGGAGTTGGTTATATGCAGTTGCATGCGTAAAACAAAATAGTGCAAGGATAGTTTGGAGATAAGACCACGACACATTCTGACTGAAGCACATTTTATCTGTGTGTATATGACTCTATTTAAAATAAATTCAACAGCTGATTTCATGCTCGATCATTCAGACTTTTTTCAGTCACTATAAACAATCCAATAAAAGTCTTGTTAGAAGAATTTAAGCAAGAATTCGAATATTCTATTCTCAATTTGTATCTTTTGTTAAATCCTTAGGAGTCATTGCACGAGAGCAACAAACAAGCTTGTTCAATTGATATTATACATTTTAATGAAACTATTCTTGTATATAACCTCAAGTAAGATGTGAAAAATCTCGATAATTTCACTTTCGAAAACCATTCTTTTGTTGAGACATTCAAATAATAACAAAGACTGTCAAGATGAAAGAACGAGAGTCATTACATCGCCGTTCAAACATAGTATATTGCAGTAAACAATGCATGAGTGGCAACATGATGACTCTCATTGTAAGCCTTGAAGATTTTTATATGTTATAAGAATATCTCAAGAAGAGAACAATTTTAGAAAGTGGAATTATCCGAACTTTTTCACATCTCATTTGAGGTTACATACAGTTACAGTTTTATTGAAATTTGTAATATCAATTGAACAGAATTGGTCATCTCTTGTGTAGTAATCCTTAGGATGTAATCATACTATTGTTCTCAAAGCATTTAGATTTAAAATAACATCAGCTATGATAATGTCAAATGCATCAAGTTCTTCAAAAATTAATAAGTCTAAAAATTCCAAAACAGAATCAGTTGTAGTTCTTAGAGAAAGCTTCGTCTAAATGAAATTTAAAAAAAACTTCAAGTCATTTTTTTTCTTACGTTCAAATTTGCCTACTACTACTATCCTGATGACGATCAATTTGACTTAATTATTATTCTTCAGACACATATAAATCATACATGGATAGAACGATCTCAAATCGGAAACATTTTCACTGAAGACGATATATTTTGATTCTTTACTTTTCAAAAAACAAGAAATTGAGTCATTCAAAAATTTATATAAATAATGATTTGATAAATAACAAAAAACAGACGGTACTAGCATCAGATACACTCGAGTCAATGAATAAACATATACTTGTAAATCCTACAATGGATGCCTCCATATCGGAATCATTGACACTTATTCCGATTGCAAAAGCATTGACGTTGTCCTCCGTCTCACTAATTCCCACAGTAATCGACTATTCTTACCTTTTTACATGCACACAAACTGCCACGTACCGTAACAATTACTGACTGAATCAAGCGAACAATGATGTAGGGCAGGAATCAATACAAGTATCGAACTCATTTTTGTCGATCAATAGTGATTGCAAAACCATTATGCAAGAATTTTTATACGCTCATACTTTAAGAAATATGCAACGATCGAATTGAACCTCGCTTAAGTAGCTTTATTACCAGAAAACTAAAATATAATTTGTTATAGTCTCAATCGCATTCATGTTGAAATTACTAGGGATGAAACGGTGCTGTCGATAGACACATAAAGGACCTACAATGATGACCGATGTATTAATATTGCTAACTCCTTTGAACATAAAGGGATCTAAATAATTGAAAAAAATGGTCATCACAATAAATTCCTAATACGCCCGCTGGTCATAACGATGATGCTGCACAATGAATCACTAGAAAATACTATGTTTACATTTTATGTTACCTGGCGGAATTAAATAAAAAGAAAAAAAACATCTTATTTTAATATAAAAGAAAAAACATTTTCTTGATATAATGTTACTATAGTAACTCCACCTTTTAGCTGAATGAATCGATTTGTTGAAATGGCTAACCAATCAAATTTGAACAGAACAGATGTTGGACGTCCGTATATTTTTCTTTTTATTTTTGAATTCACTTTAATTCAATGATGCTCTCGTCCTATGTGACTTTCCTTCTTATCTCAAGTCTTTTTACCATAATTTTCTGTGGAAATATCGAACATACAGTGTTACGTGGTGTACCAACTTCATGTAAATATTATTTTTGAAATCCAGGTTGTTTTTTATATTAAATTTCTTTGAAACTTTAGTACATTCGAAGTATGTTCCATCAAAAAACTTTTCTTGTCTTGATGGTTCATCAACAATTCCATTTGAATTTGTGAATGATGATTATTGTGATTGTCGAGGTAATTAAATCAATGAAATTTGTTTTATTTATTTATTTAAAGTTTTTTATTTTATTTTAGATGGAAGTGATGAACCGGGAACATCAGCTTGTCCAAATGGACAATTTTTCTGCGAAAATAAAGGTTATATTGGTACATTAATACCATCACATTTAGTTGGCGATGGTGTATGTGGTATGTTTTCCATAAGATTAGAAGGGATTGGTGAACCATAAGTACAAGAAAAGTTAAGGACACCCTAAGAAATCCATCTTGGATCTGGTGCATTCAAATAGCATGAAATATGTTGGGACTGTAGTGAGGAGGCCATGTTAAAATTTTCAGCTCAACATCATAATGTTTTCGGGAGATATTTAATAAAATTCAAAATTTTGCGGGAATCTTCATTCTATAGATTTAATTTTTTTTTTCATTTAAAAGAGCATTTCGGACTCCAATGCTTTTTTTTAAAATTCTTACTTTTTATGTGGAGAAAAAGGATAAGAAGTTCGATACCTCGAAAAATGGTCATCTTTTTATAGAATTGCTTTTCTTATATAATAATAAAAAAGCTTAATTCAAAAAACGGACACTGTGGCTTCACATATTCTTGCAAACAAAACAAAAGCAATTGGTTCCAATGGACCTTCTTCAAGAATTCTAGGATGTACAACCAGAAAAGCATATTTTTCAAGCAGTAGATGACAGAAATCATGAAAAAATTTGATTAAAAACGAGGTATCAAATTAAAAAAAGTTATGTCGCTTATGAAAGATCAGACGACGAACTATTATCTCAATTTTTCTGACGAAAATTGACTTTTTTCAGTAGGATCTTTATGCATGTAAAAGGTGTGGATGTGGATAGGAATGAAGAGAAGACTAATACTCTATTTATCTTCACTTTTTTATATGCTGAACGTTCCCGTGCTCATCATTTTGGTTCCCGATTAGAGAAATTTGATTGAGATCGATGATTGTTTTCGTTTTTTTTTCTATTCATATAGATTGCTGTGATGGTTCTGATGAATATGAAACAACAATTGTTTGTAATAATACATGTTTGTAAGTAATTTAAGACATAAGAATAAAATAATATTTATTTATTGATTTATTTAAAGTGAATTAGCTCAAAAAACTAAAGCTGAACGTGAAGCAAAACAAGCATTACATGAAGCAGGTGTAATTAAAAAGAAAGAAATTATTGCTACATCAGTAGTTACTAAAGCTACTCGACAAGTAAATTTAAATTTCGAAAATAAAATTTTATTGAAACGGTTTCTTATTTTAGACACGTCTTATTGAACTTGAACAAGATTTACGAAAACTTGAATATGAATTAAAAGGAAAAGAAGGTAAAATTAAAATAAGAAGAATATTGAATACAAAAAAAAACAAAGATTTAATTATTCTTTTCAATAGAATTAAAACAACAAGCTGAAATTCCAGAAAATGAAGCCAAAGGAAAACATCAAAAACTATGGGAAGGTATTTTTATTTTATATATAAATAAATTTCTTAATTTTTTAAATTAGAACAACGTGCTGTACGTGAAGCTATTGCACGTGATAATCAAATGCGTGAAATGTTTGCCGATTTAGATACTAATAACGATTCATTGTAAATATTTTGATCTTTACAATACACACTAATCTAATTCTTATCTTTTTATTTTTATCTAATAGAGTATCAATTGAAGAATTACAAAAACATACAGAACTTGATACTGACCATGAAAATGAATTTACAGCTGAAGAAGTTCGAGTATGTTAATGATTTCTGTTTTATGAAATACGATCTAAAAGTAGTGTCGAAGTGTAGGGGTAAAAATTTTGAGTCGACCGGGTCTGAGTCCAGAAATTTTTGGATCCGATGGGCTCTTCCCACAAAAGATTAATCAATCAGATTCGAATCTAAAATTTTGATTGACCAGATCCAAAAATTCTTGGACTGAATGGGATCTACGCGCTCATTGGAAGTGCTTTTGAAAGTTGTTGATATTGCATGTTCGCAACATTACTACAATAATGTTTTTGCATCTATTTCTATGAGATACATTTATGTTTGGTTTTGTAGAGAATATACTAAGAAAATACAAAGATTTTCATTCTTTATGGACCATCTGTTACTTCCTTACTGCATTTCTGAAGGATTGAAAACAGCTACATTGTGTTTCACATTTTAATTCTGCAGGAATTGGACTAATATTTTATTTTGTTTTTATTTATTAGTCAATTCTTGGTGCTGATTCTGTAAATTTTGATGAATTTAATGTGACTGTATTTGAACAAATATCAAATTCTTATCAAAAATTACCACAAATATCAATTGAAACTTCTGTTAATCAAGATGATTTAGCTGCAACAACAGAAGCACATTTAAAACAAGAAGAAGAAGAAGAAGAAGAATCAGCAGCAGCTACAGAAGGTGATTATGAAGAAGATCTTAGTCATCATGAAGCATCAACACATGTTGCTACAGTAAGAAAATTCAATAAGAAATATTTATTCAAAATTTGTTCTTTTTTTATTCTTAGTCACTTGATCATGGAAAACATATTCATGATGATACAGTACCAGAATATGATGATGAAACAAAGAGATTAATTGAAACAGCTGATCATGCTCGAAATGAATACAATGAAGTTGAAAGAAAAGTTCATGATATTAAGCGACAAATTGAGTTTGTATTTTAATAATTATTTTATTTTATTTTTTGTAAATTATTTTATTTTTTCGTTTAGCGATTTAAAAAGACAATCTGATGTTGATGTTGGAATTCATGGTGAATATTCAGCATTTATTGATCAATGTTATGATTATGAAGAACGTGAATATACCTATCGAATATGTATGTTTAAAGATGCTAAACAAATTCCAAAAGGTGGTGGTAGTGAAGTAACAATTGGATATTGGGATTCATGGTGTGGACCAACAGATAATAAATATTTAAGAATGAAATATGCAAATGGTGCAACATGTTGGAATGGCCCAGCTCGATCATTAACAGTTACGTTTCGATGTGGAATTGAACATAAACCAGTTGATGTAAGAGAACCAACACGATGTGAATATGCTATGTTATTTGAAACACCATCAGCATGTGATGAAACTATTGCGATAGCATCAGTACATCCTGATCATGAAGAATTTTAATAGACTCTTCTAATTTATCGAACTGTTGACATTCTTTTTTTTTTCGTAGCTAGTATCTGCTTTGTGCTGTTGTTGTTATTATTGTCGGTGACATATATTTTATTGGCTTACGGTTGTTATAAGACTCATCTCATTTTTTATATGTAATGCCACATTCGTTTTTTAAATAAAAAGTAAAAAAATATAACATAATTAATTATATGTTAGAAACGTATGAACTTATGATATGAAAGTTTTGATGCAAAATATTTACTCATATTTGCGGTCAACAAAGGACAATTGGTTAGAACCAGAAGCAATTAATAGAATATTTTTGAATATATGTTTAGATTTTCCTTCTGGTATAAGAGATAGAATAACCATCAGTAAATTTTGTCGAAAAGTCTAAAGTTATGTTCCTACAATGCACAATAGCCGTTTTGGCACAGTCCTTAGTTTATGTCATGGAATAGCTTCAACCCAACATTATTGTAGGACATTAAGTTCTATACAAAGTGAGATATTACAATAGATGAAATCTCATACTACACCAAATCTTCGCGTTTCCATTAAAGAGCTAATTTCTATGGAAATTGTTGTTTCAAAAATACAAAAGTTTTGAAATCTGTCATGTAAGATAAAATAGAAAAGTAAATAGTATGCATTGTAAACCAAAGTTTACTCTAGAAAACGGAGCCATTAAAAACTGTTTCACATTTTGAATTTGGTAGATTTCAATCGGAATACAAAATTCATCATAATACTATTATGTACAATCACAATTATGAAATAATCAGATGTTAGTTATCTAATTATACCCTAGAAGGAAATTCTGAACATCTGAGATCAAAATGACTTCTGGGTTATTAAAATTCTAAAAATCTCTTCGTAAATCCTCGAAATCGTTTTGATTTTTTGCAAACTCTTTCAATTAAAAATAACATACAAAAAAAAGGGTTGTTAGCGCATTCTTTGTGGAATCAAAATGTGAGACATGATGTAGTTGTTCTTGCTAATTGCAGAGAGATTGTTTTATTATATCTATTTTGGAACACATTTCTTCAGCATCCTTTTACTTAACCTTCTATCTCTCATAGCGATTTCAGAAGAGCCATTGATTAAACAACTGTTGGAATAGAATATTGATTTTTCCAACATATCGATAGTATGGACAGATCGATTATGCACATTCTTGTTTGGTCGCTCTAGTGACCATTGGGATAGAACGATGTGCCGAAAATTCTATATCAAACCTTCCGTAAGTCTGATGTAGTTTGACGAAAAAATGTCACAGAGAGCTTGGGAATACCTTATTTTGTAGAGAATACTTCACTCTACCAATTCGTCGGGTATGAGTGAATTTTTTGCCCGAATGGTAGATACTAAGAAACTAAAGATTTGGTTTTCTAGAAAAATTCCTAGTGACCATTCTGTGTGGTTTGCTATCTTTTTTTTACATAGCTTTTGTGGAACTTTCGAATGGTATTGATACCATTCGTAGATATTGTCATCGTTACATATTTGACACAATACATTTTTATCATATATCTTATTTGTTGGCAGAAAAGCATTTTATTTCAAAAAACTCCAACTTTTATGATTTTTTTAAACTTATCGATTTTGTAACTCATTTTTTTGAAGATGGACTAGCACAAAACAAAATATTTTCTTATTAATTCCTAGTTTACAGAGTTCACTGCAAGATATCTTTCAGAAGTATTTTTAAATTCATAGTTCCTTTATTTTCTGCAATTGTCCTACAGATGGTCACTCGAATGACCAAGAAGGGATAAAGAGTTAATCTTCTAAAAATACAATAAGGAGTCCATATATTATAACGAGACGTTATTGATATATGGTCTATGGTCATATGTCAACAATATTTATCACGGTCTATGATGTATTCATGGTAATGCCTGCTGTGGGTCCAAATTTTAACACTCCTTTTAGTTCTTATCTAACAAAATTACAAAACACTTCCTTATTATATTATCTGCATCTAATTATCCTCGTAAATACTATAAGAGATCCATGTGATAATTATCGAGAAGCTACTATCAGTTTCCTTGAAAAGTGTTGTATCATGCTGCATTGTATGAAAGCGCATGAATATTTTTTCATTCGTTAAAACTGACGAAATTGAATCTTTTAGGATTCAATCGGATAATGTCGATGCGTATGAGTCATCTATACTAGCCACAGAGCCTAAATTGACCGCAACTATGAGATAAATTTTTTTATTAGTAAAACATATTCTGAAACTCTTTTCTTCTCAATTAATATATAAGTAATTCAAATTTTGGTAGAAAACACTCTTTGCAATCATTTATAACTGGAACCAAAAGTCATAAGCACTACCAATGATAGTGCGAACAAACGTGCCGCATGGGAAGTTCATCAGATTCATTCTAGATTCAAAATCAGTACGTTCTATTGGAGATGTGAGTCTAAGTTTAGGTCTCGAAATTTCCAATCTGGCAAGCAGTGTTATCTCTCATAATTAGTTTATTTTAAAATTGAATGATATCATGAAAGGAATGATTAAAAAAAGAATTTCAATAAATATCTTGAAATAAGATGATTATTTGTAATTACATTTCTTATACAGTTTCTAACATGAACTATACTCTGGAGTGTTATTGTTTTGTATATGCAAAGTTTCACTTTATTTTCGAAACGAATATTTCAATACTTTTATCCAAAATTCAAAAAAAAACAGTTCAATGTAAATAATTTTTATTGAAGATTATCAGTATCATCATCACATATAGTTCGATATGAAATATTAAATACCATAAAATTAATAATTTCTTTTATTGATAAAAATTTAATTTTTTTTTCGATAAATTAATCATTTATAAAATAATTTTTCACTTCTTAATATACTTTGGCTAGGTTTTGTTGTTGTTGGTACGACATCGAATGGTACTGTTGATCGATAATTTTCCAAATCAGGTTTTTCTAAAAGATCAACGTTTTCCTTTTTTTTTATATTTATACAATATGAATTATTTTTGATTTAAGTACTTACGATACCCTTGAAGTATTTGATTATATTTTACTGTAGAATAAGGATTATAAATCATTTGAGATGATGAGTCTTTTAATACGGATGTTAATGGTTGACGATTATTTTGTACTGATGTATTTCCCATCAAGAAATCATTTGATTGATCAATAATAACTGATGTAGTAAATTGAAAAGAATTGTTGCTATTTGAGTTTAAATCAGAGAATGATGAAGAATGAAGAATCTATCAATAGAAAAATGTTAATCAATATTAAATAATTAGATAATAATGAATATTTAAACTTTTCGTTGTTGTTGTTTTTCATCTGAATGAATTTTTGTTGGGGATTGATTGATACGTTCTATTTCAAAATCATTCTGTAGACCAAGTGATTGAAATGTTGGTTTAATTGTTGAATCAGTATCTATTTCAGGTGTACCATCATTGAAATTTTTAGTAAAAAATGATAAAGATGGACTTGGAAAAGGTGTTTGTTTAAGACGAGTATCCATTTTGAACATTGTTGCTTTTGTATGATTACCAATCTATGATTTTAGATTATATTAAATAATAAATAAAGTTTTCTTTTTTTTCTTACTGATGGTTTTGTTTCTTTTTGATCTAGATAGAATTTAAATATTGATATATTCGAATGTGTTGATTGTATTCGTTCTGATAAAATGCGATCATCCTGTGAAGGTTTACATACAGCTGTTGTACGTAATGCAAAGCTTGGTAAAGCTACAATATGTGGAAGAGCAGAAGCTATTGTTTGATCATTATTAGAATCTGTCCATGTTGATGTGAATAGATCTGTATGTTGAGGTACATGAAATAATTGTTTCTGTTTTCCTTGTTCAAGTTTATTCCATTTATTTGATCGATCACCAGAAGATAAATTAATTGATTTTGGTTGTTCAAGAGTCGATGTTGAAGATGATATTGAAATTCTAGATGCTGGCCGTTTGGGAACAACTAAAAATAAATTAATTTTTTCTGATTTCAATATGATTGCTAATTTATTATTTCATACAGACCTTTATTAGGAAAATGATTTGTATATATAACAGGAGTAGTAGATGCAACAGGAATATTAGGGTTAGCAGAAGCATCATTTGCAATAAGAGCATCAGAACGAATTTCAGTAGGAGAAATGGTAAAATTAACAGGAGTAATAATAACAGGACGAGTAAGAGATCTTATAGGAGTATTACTCGTAGGAGGAATAGGAGATGTATCAGGACTAATCACAAGATTAAGATTGGAAGATTTATCAGGAATATCATTAATCGATGGACTAGAAGAAACAAGTGGAATCTCTAGTGTCGGAGAAGTGACTGAAATCTCAGAACTCGGAGACGTTATAGAAATCCTATCAGCAGCAGAAATACGAGCAGTTGGAGAAGCTACAGGAACTACGTCATTGGACGAATTCAATGGAATAGGAGGGGTAGGTGACTTTTCAGGAGTGGGAGAATTATTAGGATTAATCACAGAGGCAGATGTGCGAGGCACAGGGAAAGTAGTAGTATTAATACGAGTGAGAGAAGTTGCAGGAGTCGCAGTTGAGTTGCCCATCAAGTTTTTTCTTTCAAGTAATTCTTGCTTATTTGAATTGTTATGAATTCATTATTCTCTTTCAATGGTTTCATTCTATAATACAATTTTCAAGTATAAAGCTAATCAACACTAACAAGACAAGGATTCCTATATATTGGAAAGTCTAAGTTTAGACAAAAAAAAAAAGGTTTCATAAAATTTTAAAAAAAATAGATTTATTCGAAGTTATTGCATTATTTGTTTTTTTTTCATGCGAAATAGTGATATCTATCATTTAAATGCCATCATCATTATATATTGGTTATAAATCAATCCAACCAGATGCCAAAGCGACCTTTATATTGTTATTTATTTGCTGGGCGAGAGAAAAGCAACTATCAACGATTACGTGTTTGCTAGTTCTCCGTCACTGAGTCAGTTTCTTTCTTGTGTTTTTTTTTCTTTCTTTTTTTCAAATACATTTTATTGATTTTATTTTCTTTAACAGATCGGGTGCTTAGATACATTCTTAAAACTCATCGCTTGGTTAAAGCCAATTTATTTTTATTGTTTTTTGTTCTTTTTCTTGGCTTATAATATTATTATCTAATATATTATGCTTTTATTTATTTACATCATTTAATTGTTCACATGGAAGCAAATAAAGAAGCTGCTTTACATTACCTAGAACTTGCTGAAAAAGCAATTCTTATTAATGACAACGAACGAGCTGTTCGATATTTAAATAAATCTATAGACCTTTTTCCAACACATAAAGCCAAAGGTAAATTTAAAAAAAAACAATCTTTTTCTAAATTGAATTTTTTTTTTATTGTAATGAAAGATCTTCTTGAACGAATGAACAATTCAACCTTTGATTCAAAAAATAATAATAAAACTCATGAATCCAATTCATCATCTTCAAATCATGATCATACAATGACAAATGGTACTTCATCACATACAAAACATAGAACAACTTCAACATCAAATAACGATTATACGTCTGAAGAAGTAGACGCTGTACGAAAGTAAGTAAATATATATTAGTTGCTTTAAAATGTCGAGAGAAAAACTCAAACAATAGATAAAGATCATTTTTTTTTGCCAAGAGAAAAACGATGCGAACTAAATGCAATTTAAAATTTAAAGATGATGAAATGTTTATTCTTTCATTGTTGATTTCGGCAGTGAAATAATTCTGTATATGATTCGTCACAAACGAACATATATACATGTGAGCTGTTTTAAGAAAAAAAAGCCTATTTTCAAAATAGATTAAGATAAATAGAATGACATTTTTTTTTATTCGATTGCAAAGGGCACAACAATAAGATTACGAAATGAATTGTTCCTCATGTCAGAGGTAATTCAGCTAGCAATTGTTTTAAAGTTATTTTACTATTCTGAAATTTTGTCTTGAATGTAGCAACTCGTCATTAAAATATTGTTGTATAAGAATTTCTTTTCTCTTTTTTTTGTTTGATATTAAAAATAAAATGACTGACTGCTTTGTTAGTTGTAAAAAATATTACTTGAAATTCGATTTTGAGAAGAAATTTGTTCGCTCAAAAATCTATTATATATCACGGTTATGGTTTTTTCGATTTCCAAGAAATATTTATAAAAGAATCTCACAAAATGATAAATCATTTTTGATGTGAATTTTTTCAACAAAATCAACTTTTGAATCTAAAGTTTGCAGAAGTGAATTCTTCAATAGGATGAATACATTGTAAATGTATCAAATTTTTTAGTGTCTCTTAGATATCAATATTGAAAATTCTGTTATGCGGAAAAGCAAACTTTGTTCTTATATTCTAGAAAGTTCAACTTTTGCACACTAAGATGATCTTTTTGACTATTTTATTTTATAATCAATTTTGAAGGTGATATGTAGAGAATCATAGCATTTTGTTAAAAAACTCACTAAAATGATGATCATTTAAGGAGAAATATCAGAATTTTATCTAGTTGGAGGCGGCTTCCCTCTTGCGATTGGTCTTTCCGAACTTTAATGGTTGTCGTATCACATCAAGAGGGAAAATCGAAAATTTCGTATTTCAAGGGTATGTCAACTTGCGTTGTAAGCATAATTAGCTTGAGTTCATTTTATATGAGTCTGTCCAGCAATAAAGCCGAAATTCTTCATCTCACTTCAGTATTTGAGTATCAGTGAAGTACGATGACGTATTTGAGTTTTATTATCAGAGAGATTTATATACAATGAATTCAAACTGATATGTGCGTGACATACGTTAATAGTAGGCTTGAAGTACAGAATTTTCGCTGTTTTCCTCTTACACCACAAACTATGTATCTGTTCTTCGAAAAACAGTTATTCCTTCTCCCGATATTATGAATTGCCTCTCCAGAAGGACAAATGTAGATAAAGCACTGCCAAGATCAATCATCATAAACAACCTTTTTTTTAGGTCTTCTGGTGTCATTATCATACATCTAGTACTACTGGCCGTATACGATACTGTATTATTCATTTTGTATGTACGGAAAAATACAGCCTCATTAATGTGTTGTATTTCACTGTAAACGTTTATATTCTTCGACTAGAGTGAGAGATACCGATCTGTATGAATCCTTTTAGACTTTCTCTAATTTTAATAGAGTCTATCTAATGAAAAAAGACTTATTTCAAGAATGATTTATCATTTTGTGAAGTTCTCTTGTTAGTATGATATAGCTAACAGTCAGATAGAATAAGCAAATAATGCATAGATAAAAAGACTTGATATTTGAACTTGAAATTATTTATGAACACGTTTAATTCTTCTTTATATTTGATTAGAATGTTAATATTCATTTTTATTTTTGTAATATTAGAATCAAAACATGCAAAGACTTATATGAAATTCTTGGTGTTAGTAAAACAGCATCTGAAGCTGATTTAAAAAAAGCTTATAGAAAATTAGCTCTCCAAGTAAGTGAAATATTAAACATTCTTTTTTTTTTTCATTTATGAATTTTTCTCTTATTTAGTTTCATCCAGACAAATGTAAAGCACCAGGTGCTACTGAAGCTTTCAAAGGTCATCTATCTTTAAAAAATAAAACAAAAACGAAATCTAATTTTTTTTTTCTTTAATAGCTATTGGTAAAGCATTTTCAATATTAAGTGATCCAAAAAAACGTCAACAATATGATCAATATGGTCAAGCAATGGAACCACAACATAATCATAGTAGTACCGGTGGACGACAATATTATTATTATAGTGATGCAGATGATGATTTTTCAGCCGAGGAATTATTTAATCTTTTTTTTGGCTATACTGGTATGATAAATATTACATATCAAAAGAAAAAAAAAAAGAAAATCTATAATCATATAGGTCCAACAACTCGTGTACATCGACGTCGTCAACAACCAAATTCATATCATTTTACAACTTATTCAACACAAAATGTTTAATTTTTGTTTTTTAATTCTTTCAATTAAATAAATTTGTCTTCTTTTTAGACAACACATACATTTGTCCAATTATTACCATATTTTTTTCTATTTCTAATTTCAATTATTGGAACATTATTAGTGAGTGATCCACAATTTCAATTGCATCCTACTGGGTAGAGTATATAGTGAATTTATTTTCTTTTATTATTATTAAACTTATTATTTTTAGAAAATATACTAATTTACGTGAAACGCGATCGTCAAAGATTCAATATTATGTTAAATCTGATTTTCAGCCACCAAAAACAGATGCAGCATTAGATAAACTTGAATCATCAGTTATCGATGAATATATATCTGATATACGACATCAATGTTATCGTGAACAACAATATAAAGAATCAATGATATGGCGAGCAAAAATGATGAATGATAATAATCTCTATCGCCAAGCTCAACAACAAAAAACACCATCATGTACTAAATTCAATAATTTTGTACGTAGTTATGTCTAGTGTTTTGATTGTTTTTTTTTTCTATTTTCTAATTGAATAAAAAGATCACAGTGAACCAGTTCCTTTTTTTTTTGTTCTTTGTATTTGTTTATTGTTTCATACTATATTTTTTCTTTCGTTTCTTATTCTCTGTCGATCATGTGATGCAATTGTAACAAACAAAAAAAAATAATAATAATAATAATAACCTTTGCTTATTGGGAATAAATAGAAGACAAAACGATGCATATATATAATTCTACTTTCAAGTTTGAATGTTCATATGTTAAAACGTTAAAGTAATTAGAAATTAATTGATACGAATAATAGACGAAAAATTTTAACTGCATACAAAAAAAAATATATCAGTTTATGACACTACTAAGTGTTATGGAATTTACATTGTAACATCTATTTCTTGCCAATGGTAAAAGCAAATTCTTTAAAACTTTCATTATATGTCGAAAGTATTTAGATCTACTATCAGTAAGAATTTCATTGATTTTTCTTTAGCTTGAGCTGAGCCATTTAGAAAATACCAACCGCTATCGAATTTCGAAATATGAAATTTTTTTTTAGCAGAGTTGAGAGCTTAACATTTTACTACGAAACGAAGTGACATATAAATAAACTTTCGATATAAAAGTTGTTCAGGTTTTAACAAGCTTTCAGAAAATCAGGTTATTTCTTAACAAGCATAACTATATCGAATAACAAACTAAAAAATAGTGTTCATGACGGAATTTATATCGGATTCTAAGTCAAATGATGTATTTTTCACTAGAATCCAACGAAAAAAAATGTTCCAACGTTTTTCAATCCGAGAAAAATTAAAGATCAGAATTAATTTTGATACATTTTCATGAAAACCTATGGTCTTGGTAAATTTAATTTTAAAAAGAAGTTCTAATTCATATCTTGCGTATATCAGAGAAATACATGCTTCTTTGTAGTGATTTTCCATTTACTAATAGCATCTTGTGTCTTTGTTTTTGTTATCAGTTTAACTTATTCGTCTGCATTGATGCCTTGTTTTTTGTATGCCTATATATTTCTCGATGATTATTCGTACCGACCAATTTTCTTATTGATTAAATTTAAGAAAACTGGTTAAAAAATTGCGTTCTGTTTGAAATTGAAAGTTGACACCAGCGTGATTTTATACAAAAAAAGAAATAATATAACAGGAGCATTGATAGTTATATTCATCTTGTAAGTAGGTATGTTCATATAAAATGATGGATGATTAGCAGGTTTAAAATAAGATATTTGTTCACATTTGATCCGCTAGAAAGTATTTCCAACAAATCGAAAGCTATGATTTATGAGTAGAAAGGTGTACTCTCTTCGAATTAGTTTTATTTCAGTTTTTGTTCGAGAGTAATGAAATAATTTCTAAACAGACCAAAAAATTTTTGTGTTTTCACTATTGCAATTCGAAACTAAAAGTTCGGATCTTTATTTATTTAACGACTTTTAGATTAGAAGCTACTCTATACAATGCATAATTTGAAGTTTTTCTTTCTTTTTCGACACGACATCTCAATTTTCATTTTTTCTAAATACATATTTTTGAAAAATCGATAACCGTTTAACGTTGAAAGGCGTTCTTGAAAGAAAATGCTTAGGTAAAAGCTACAATTTAGTTTCGATATCATATTTTGTAGAGAAGTGTTCGCTGCACAAAACAACCGACTTCGACAATTTTTAGCATGTTCGACGAGGGACTAATAGGATAAACAGAAACTTGTTGGCTCACTATTTTCAAGTCTTTCAAAAACTTCTTCACTACTCTTGAATGAAAATAGACACAACATTTCTGAGCTCATATTCAAAATTTTAGTCGCGACCTATGCTAAAATGCTTTCAAGCAGGTCGAAATGAACAAATATGTTCACCAAAAACGTCGCCCAACAAGTTCCGTCCAAACTAACTTTTTGTGTTTTTCAGAAATACTTTCTAGTAGATCAAAAGTAAACAACCATCCTGTCTAAAAACTTTTCGATGATCCATTGCATAAACTTGATTTCTTTTTTGTTAGTTGACTTTTTATAAAAAGATCTCGTCAACATAAAGATTCGATTTAAATACTACAAATTAATAATGATGAAAAACTGTTAGCTCCGTGCAATGTATTAAATGATTATCAATGTTTAATCATATAATACTTAGGTATTGAGTTATAATGACAAATTTTGATGTATACAGTAAACTTCAGTTATTAAGAAAAGTTTTTTTTTAATAGTCACTTAACGAATACTCAATCAGTTATCCATGGGACACTGATAATTTATATTGAAAGTCATTCTTCGATATACGTAAGCTGAAGGTGATATTTTCATCTAGCAACAAGACAATAAAACGCTGCAAACATTGAAAAATTCTTCATTGATTCCATTGATAGTAATAAATACTAATGTTATACATTCCTTCGCTTACGTTCAAGTGTACAAAGTTTTTTGGGGCATGGATACTAGTCTAAATGAAGATCAAACTTGGATATTTTGATTTGTTGAGATTGATTATTTATCTAATTCTTTGGTTGATTTATTATAGAATATAAATGGGTTGGATATAAAAAAAAAAGGAATGAATGTTTCATGTTGTTATTGTTGCTTTTTTTCAAACATCTATTGTACAGAAAAATGTGTTGTGCTCAACAAGCAGAAAAATAGTTATAGGATTCATGCCACTGTTATCCCCGAGACACACAAAAATATCAGGAGGCATCAAAAGGATAGGATATGGACCACGTAGATTAAGAAAAAAAAGGGACCAAAGGATAGAAGCAGACATGACAAGAAAAAAAAAGAGAAAATTCCTAGTTCTAGTAGAGCACCGCTGATTTTTCTTTTCTAATAGGAAAATAGATCATTTGGCAGAGGATGAATGTCCAGCTAAAACTAGCCATCGTTTGAATTCATCATAGAGAACCAGTACAAGCGATGAACCAACGCTACGATAAATATTGGATAAATTGCCTTTAAAAAAGGCAAGTAAACCTTCATTAACAGCAATCTTTCGAGCACAATCAAGTGTTCCTCTATAAATAATATCTCCACGACCACTTTGCATCATCAAACGACTAAAACCAAACAAAAAAAAAAATATAATATTTTTGTTTTTTAATTAAAATTTCAAAAGAAAAACATACCGTCGAATTGTATCAAGTGGATAAGCAAGAAATTCTGATGACGATGTAATAAATTGTGCAAAAAGAAAACGATACAATATACTTGGATTTGGATTATCTCCAAACATAAATCTTTTTCCAGCATCATAACCACCAAAATAGAATGCTCGATAGACAAAAATACCAGCTACACTAATAGCAAAACCTCGATAGAGACCTATAAAATAAAATAATAATAAATTTTAATTTTATACATTGATTTGAATTATTAACAAATATTTAACCTCGAATTCCATCAGCTTTATAAATTTTTATCATACAATCGTTCATGCCTTTAAATTGTCGTTCACTAACGGATTTTCCAATATCAACACCAAGACGTGTACGAGCAAAATCAAGTGGATAAACAAATAATAGACCAGTTGCACCAGCCATACCACCAGCAAACAGATTACCAGCAAAGAATTTATACGGATTTAAAACTGGATTATAATTAGCAAACATTCGTTGGTAACGTTCTTTAAAAGCAAAATTTAATGCTTGCTAAATAAAATAAAATAAAATAAGATTTATTTATTTATTTATTTTTATTCAATTTAAAAAGAGTAAATTACTGTTGGAAAATAACGCAAAACATTAGCCCAATTTCCACGCCAAAGTGATATAGTCCCTTCTTCTCGAATACATCGAACAAGACAATCACCAAATCCTTTATATTTTGTTCCTTGTGAAATTTTTTGATTCACATCTTGCGTTTGAAGAAGAAGTTTAACACGTTCAAGTGGTGCAACAGCTGTTTTTGAAATAGCTCCCTAGAAGAATTATTATCATAATAAAAATTAACTATAATAAAAAAAATGAGTACATACAGCTAAAATATAAAAATAAATTTAGAAAATATTTTATTTTAATACAAAGAAGAAAAACAGACCTGTTCCACCAGCAAGAAAATCGATTAGAATATCTTTTGTTGTTACTTGAGCTCTTTGCGGTACACCGGTTGGACCACCCATATCGATCTAAAATAAAATATTAGAAATAATTTTGTCCTTAAATACGAACTTTCTTATTCTATTCTTTTCGTGGCCGACAACAACAACAAATTCACTGATCAAATTCCGATGCTCCTTGAAAAATACAAAAATAGATTTATGGCAGCAACCAATTAGATAGATTCGTAATGTAAACAAACGACAGAGATCGCTAACTTATGGAATTTAAACAATCATTTTAAAATCTTATGTCTTTATTTTTTTTTCAATTTATTGTTTAAACATTAATTTATAAATTGGTACTGAGAAACAAATATTTTCCTATCATACAATGTATGTAATCGAATTTTTCAAATCATCATTAACCTTTTTCCGTTCTTCTCCTTCTTCTAGGCGTACCTTGGCCGATACAACCTTTACAAAAATCAAAGCATTTAATTCACACTTTGCTTTATGTTGGTTGCACAGAACTTAATAAAATATCGATTAATAAATAGGATTATTTTCTTTGTTTAGTCTGTCACTGAAAAACATGATTTACAAAATCGATAATTTCGACAAAACATAAAATTTTTTTGTAGAATTCTTTTCTGTCAGCAGATAAGATACATATTGTGGACATGTTTGTGAAGTATCATGAAGTCTTGTGGAATTTTTGACATACATTTAACACATGGAAAATTCATTAGAAAACTAATGAAACTGTCTGGTTTTCAATAATCATATTTTAACAGAAATGTGAATTTCTAGGGTTTTGTCAATCTGTTGGAAAAATCAAGGTTCATTTGAACTTAAAAGCTTTTTAATGGAATTGTCTATTTCTATAAGAAATGTTCCATTAATTCAATATCAATGTTATGAAGAATTTTAATTCTTTTTATTTGTTCCTATCACTT